CGCACCCTTATTTAGACGACCACACACAAGGGAAAAAAGTTTCAATAGCGTGGTTTCCTTTTAGTTCTCACGTTTCGTAAAAGCCAAATAAACAATTATTGAATGCAATTACCTTCACGTATAAGACGCAGGTAACTTTTTCTGAGACCAAATTTAGGAAAAAAAGTGCATCTTGTATGCATCAAATACGGTATGTAGTTTTCATTAGTCACAGAACAGTGATGTAATATTTACAGATATGTAACTAGCAGCCAGCAATCCATTACATTTCACTAAGCATTGTTAAAGGTGATTCAAATACAAAGTTTTTCCAAATGGATTATTAAATAAAATTATACAGGTTGAAATCCTTGCAGATGTTCTATATCTCTGCTCCCCCTTCCTTGTTGATTCATTTCTACATTGTAAATTGTTTTGAAACTTATATTTGTAGCAAAATAAGTTATTAATCATGTATTAAATGCGGGCTACAAACTCAGAAAAAAGTTTTTAGACTTTATGAAATATTTTGCAGATATACATTTTATGATAGTTTTTGTAATGAATGAGTTTGCAGGATCTTTGGCTCATACTTTATTTATGAAGAGGTTGCTGATCATGATATGACACTAAAATATTTCAGTTGGTTATCATTTTTGGTGTAACGGAAAATCAGATGGTTGTTTCTATATAACAATCTGATTATATAAGGAAATGCTGCTATGTGTCTGACTGTGTCCCATTAACATGGCAACATTTAGGGAAATATTCACAAAGTAATCACTCAGTGAGATTAACAAAGTAATTTTAATTGGTGTGAGTAATGCCCTGCAACCCTGCTGCGTATGGGGGAGGGGTGCAACTATATAAATGATGTGAAATAAGCACCAATACATAGAAAATTAGGGAGCAGTGTGTTCTGATTTTAATTGAAATGAAAAACATAAATACATATTTAACACACTTTTATCAGCTGCAATCAAAACAGTGGTGTCGGATGTCAAAACAAACACGACAAAAGGGAAATTTATTCTATAACTTGAACATTGGTGGGTATTTGGCAGCCTAATATTTCATAGTACTCTGTTGTAATATTCCTTCTATTTAGGAGGATGATTAGTCAGTTTTCAAGAATGTGAGCATATGTAAGCACCATTTCAAAGAACCTTGACATTTTGTGTTGTAATTAGGATTTTTACATTTTATATACTTTAAAATCTTTGTGTTAAAGTGCTAATAATATATCTGCTGCATTAAGCCAAATAGGTTTTGTTTCATATACAAGTGAATTTTAATATAGAAATTGTGCCATTACTTCTGAACCAAAAAGACGTTCCTTCTTGTACTTTTTATGCAGAGTGGGAGAGCATGACCCACTTTGGGCTCCTCACATGCTGTACCCCCTGTTCTTCTACCTTTCATGTGGGGCCATATGGGAGAGTTTGCCATATGAAGTTTGGGGTGCCCATGGCATAGTGTGAGCTTACTGATCATACAACAATCTGCTATTTCTGTTTAGTTTTATTTATTCGCAGTGATGTAAAAAAAAAAAAAAAAAAAAAAAAAAACAGTTTAGTGTTTTCAGATCTATTTTTGACCTCATTTATGATTGATTCCACATGGTTCCAGTGCCAGTGTTTTCAGAATCACATAAAATAGAAGACAACACGTTTGCTTCATAATGGTAATATTTTTTCTTCAAAACTTTTTGTCTATACAGCTGATCTTCTCATAAGTGTATAAGATGTTCTCATAATGTTTCTTTCATGTTCTCATAACATGAAAGAAATTCGACCTGGAATAGGATAGTTCTGTGAGTTTAAGGTTATTGTAATTTTGCTGGGTTTACTAAAAGATTTTACAAATTATTGTTGTTTCCTATGTGAGTGCTGTACTTGTGGCACAAATTAATGTTACAAAAAAGGACTAGCCTCCACATACATCCTTTATACCTGGTATGAAAATTGTTACTTTATAACCTGTTGTGCATCCAATGCAGATATTGCTTCCCCTTATTTCCATTTATATTCACATAAAAAAGGGGTTGAATTTTTATGTGAAGATTCAAAACAAAGCCCCATAAAGTCTTTACAAAGCCCCATTTTTATGAGACCTTGTGAAGGCACTGCAGAAAAATAGCCATGCATTTGGCATGCTTATGCCGCAAATTTCCGTATCTGAGAAAAGAAAAGGACATTGGTCAGATTTCAGGTTTGTTACATGATTATCAGTTTCAATATGAACTTGGTGGTTGTAAACAAACAGCATGAAATCCATTTCGACAAGTGCGTGAAGATTTTCTAAGGAACAGAAGAGCGAAGAATTACAAACAAAAAGTGGAGAATTTTATTACATTGTATGAAAAGACTGGGTGTTGAATGTTAGCTGAAAATACATATTATCCATTCTCATTTGAATTTCTTTGTGGATAATATGAGCAGTGAGCATGGAGACTTTCATCAGCAAATTTCAACATTGGAAGAAATATATAAGGGACATCAAACATAGCAATTTGTTAGCCAATTTCTGTTTTAGCATTGGAAATGCTGAGATATAAGTTAGCTACAAACAGCAAGCTGAAAAGTTCAAACATTTCCAAAACCTTAAAACATTTAAAGTGACCTTAAAACCTTAAAACATTAAAGTTTTGGTCAAACATTCATTAATGTTTTGCAGTAGCTGTGTCTAGTCTGTTTTCCTGGACAAGAGAATTGCTTTAGTAAGAAAAATATTGATTTTGAAATTTTGTTGTAGTTGCTAAACAAGAGCCAGTTTTAGAAATTAAGGAGCAATGTCTGAACATGTTCATGTTCAAAGATGGAATTTAATAAAAGCTTATTTTACTTCTTTATTCCATTTACGCTAAATCTTCAATAATGGACAAAACATTGCTTATGGATGTTAAAAGTTAGAAATTTAATAAAAGCTTATTTCACTTCTTTATTTCATTTACACCAAATCTTCAAATGTGACAAAACATTGCTTATGGATGTTAAAAATATTTAATGAATTTTACTGTAACTTCTAAAGCCAATCTTAGAAAATAAATACAGTAAGACCCCGCTTAACGCTGTTTCGTTTAGCGCTATTTCGGTTTAGCACTCTTTTATTTCAACCCGGGGATTCCACGAAATCGCTCGCAGCATACGGGGATTCCCGAAATATTATGCAGCGATAGGTTTCAAATACATATCCGAAAGAGTGTACTTGTATTTCTTGTTTGGTGCAGTATTGTACAGACATATTTTGAAGGGGTAAATGTGGAAGATGTCGAAGAAATATTTCAAGAAGCAGCGGCTAGTCTTTCTAATGATGAGCTCAAGGAATTAACTGAACAAGAAGAAAACAAAAATGTTGACAGCAGTGATTCAGAAGAAGAGCAAGAAGAACTTTCGATGGCGTTTGTAAAAAGGAGTTTGTCTACCATAACTGAAATAATGGATCAATTCATTGAAAATGATACGAATTTTGACAGGAGCTCAAAAGTAAGGCGTGGTGTTAAGAGATGCTCTATCCGTTTATGAAGAACTTTTAAGAGAACAACGCAAAAGAAAAAGGCAAACAACATTAGATGCTTTTGTCACAAAAAGGCAGAACACTGAAAACGCGGAAGGCTAACTAAATATGACTGACTTAGAATTTTATTTATTTATTTTTTTTTTTAAGAATATTCGTTTTGTTATTTATATTTTGTTTTTATTTTTGCAAGAAATAATAATGTGGTATTAATTTGGGCTTTAAGAAATAAATGTTTGGTTTTATTTTTATTAAAAAAAACATACTTTTTAAATTTAATACCTAACCAATTTCCTATTTCCTAGCCATCTTCCCCTAACCCCAATATTTACATGTAAAGATAGCCTCGTTTAGCGCTGTTTCGCATTACGCTCAACTTTGATGGAACGTATCCCCCGCGTTAAGCAGGGTCTTACTGTAATATAGTTATTTTCAGAAGATGAAATCTAATAAGCAAAAGCTTATTTTATCTCTGTGACAGAAAAATAGTAGGACATTGCCATTTATATTATGTATATATGTAAAACATAAAAAAATATGATGGCTTTTCTCTGCGCAAACAGGCAACCTCTAATTAACTTTCCGCAATTTCAGGATCTTTCCCCAGACCAGTACTTTCGAGAACATTCTGGTATGTTATATAACCGCTACTATAAATGCACAGTTCACGTCATTTTTAGTCAGTCTGCTTCCTACTACCGCTGCTACAAGACTCTGTACTTCTCTGTCGTTTACTCTTCCCTTTGTTAGAATAGTTATGACATCAAAATCCTAAATTGAACCTTATTTTTATTTAAACCATTATTGGATACCTAGTTTAGAGAATTTCGTTTAAAATAATAATCTGCCATTTGAATTGAATGAAGATGTAGAATCAAAACAGCTAACTTCTTCTCTGTCGTCATTGGATGCCTTACTTGCCATAACAACATCTGGATTCTGATGCCAAGCTTCATCATCCCTGTGCCTGACTGCCACAATATGACATATATGTACATACTTTTTTAATGTTATTTGTAGGTAATGAAGTGATATATCTCAAGCACAGGCTGAAACTGAGCACATAAACTATGTTCAGACAAACTATACTTGGTTTCAGCCAGTTGCATATTCTAAAATGACAAACTACATTATTGCAATTTAATCCCTCAGTTTAGATGTAAATTCTCTGTATTAAAAAATATTTAAAAAAGGATGTAAATTTTTTATATGTAATGCAATGACATGTATATTATGGTATCGTATGAAAAATATTTGCAGTGAATAATTAAAAGTAAGTTTATAATTCTCCTACTTTTAAAATTTATATTATTAAGTGTGAGCCAAAATATTAAAATGTTATTTAATTAATTATAAAGTAATTCAAATAAGATTCTAATGTTGAAGTACTGTTAAATTGTTAAAAGTATTGACCATGTATCATTGAAATGTGATGCAAATGTTTAACTTTAAACTAAATCTTTTAAAAACTGCTTTTAATTCTTCTTTTATTTTATTTTTTGTAGCACATTGAAAAACTCTTCACCTTCTGCTAATAAACCTCCTATGCCTAGGTGAAGCAGGCATGTGGATTCAAGAAATGCAGTTTCATTGATCATTTGAAGATGCAGGCTTATCTTCATGAGCAATGATTTTTCACATAACTCTGAGGACTGTTAATTTAAAGTTTCAGCATGTTAATGACCTGTTAGTGTCAAGATACGAGAGGTGCCTTTCTTCACTGCTTGATGTTTACAGTTAATGAAATTTGACAAAAAGATACTGCATTGTTTTTCCAGACTAGCACAGCTTGAAAAGAATAATAGATTAATTTTTTACGCTTCGTTGAAATTTTAATTTAAATTTGTATATTCTGTTATGATTTTGATTAGAATCACATGTTTAAAAAGGTGTTGAAATTTAAAAATTGTGTTATTATCTTGTTATTTATTACTATAAATTAATGTAATTTTTTAATGATTATTATGTGATTCTTCTTTATATACTATATATATTTTAAGTTAAAGACTAATCTTCCTTTTGTGAATTTTAACATTTGAGCATTTTGATTTTTGTTATGATTTTTTAATAATATAGCACTGGCAACTACTTTGTTAAGAAGATAATTTTTTAGAGGGATTAATATTTCTGAGATGGTACTAAAAGTTGTTATTGAACTTCATCAAGAGTCATGTTCTTTATGTCATAATGACTATATCCACAAGCCAAATTGTCTAGAACTGGGAGTAGTTGTGTTAGAAAGATCTCAGTGTACTTGCTTTGTGGGTAAAAAGTGTGGGTTCATAACATTATCTTATTGCATGAACGCAATACATGTCTGGAATTTTTATAGATATTGAAATGTTAGCTTTACTAATACGAAGACTAATGTTGCACAATTTGTGTATATGAAAAAACAAAAAGGTGCTTTATGATAAGTATTTCTATGAAATACTTTGAACACACTCTTTAAGTGAGAAAGTAGTTAGAAATATTGTGTTTTCTTTGTTGTGTTGTATGATTGTTAGCACTTGATTGTTACTTATTTTTGCATAAAATATTGTTCATAGTTTCAAATTTTAATCAAAATTACTTCCATGAATGACAATCAAAATAATTTTGAGTTAATGATATTATGAAATTTTCGGATCACAAATTTGTAATTCAGACATATTTGCAAAATTAATAGCTAAAAGAAATAATAGAATATTCCTCTAAAAATTTTCTTAGTTTTCTTTTAAGTGTTGTATTAAAAAATGATATACTAGGTGAATGACTAAAGTTAAAATACAGGAAAAACCTTTCTTGATGACCTCCTCTGAATGAGACCACTATTTCATAAAACATAAATAGGCATTAGATTGCGTACCACCTCTCTAACCATTCTAATTTGAATATTTTCACTGAAGATTATTATTATCTAGAACTGTAAATATGTTGGAGAGGTTGCTTTGTGTATTGTGTATAAGAGAATTCTTTTTCTAAATGACTTTTATCTATTGAAATAGTAAGGTTTTAATTTAAATTTTTGTAATGTTATGCATGTTTTCTGGTATAATCACCAGAAAGTTTTTGATTATTTGCTTTTTATCTATAGGTTTTCATAACTTGCTTGTTTAAAATTAATGAAATATAATTAATGTAAGGTGAATCTCTCATTACTAAACTAAACTCTTTCTCAACAGCTTTTTAAGTATTTATGTGGTTTTTAATATTTATATTTACAGAAATATTTATAAGTTTTTTTTTAAATTTTATTTTTTATTTAGTGAATAGGATTTTCTATTCTATTTATTTGCATCCTCTCACATTTAAAAAAAAATATGCTTTTTAATGGCATTAATTCTAATTCTATTGTTCCCACTACTTTGAAAATTCAAATGTTTTATTACTGAAGAAAAATATTTCTTAATAATTTTCTTAATATTTGTATAGTTGTATGTATGCAATTTCTTCAGTTGGTGAAGGAATTTTTCTTATAAATTTTTTGTTGGGCTTTCTACCTTTGGGGAAACTTTTAACTCCTAAAGATGAGAGACTTATGTCAGACAGCTGTCAAAATTGATAGAATTTCATACAAATTTTATATCAAGCTTGCATTTTTTGCCTAATTTTAAATTTGTGTGGTTCCTTATAAACACTAGCTTGTGCTTTCATTATATGTTGTGAAATGCAAAATCTATTTAGAGCATGTTTTGAGAAACATGCTCTAAATGAACTAAACTCTAAAGTGCTCTAAAGTCTATTTAGAACATGCTCTAAAGTCTATTTAGAGCATGTTTTGAAAATTGTACCCTCCAGCATGAATTGCTTTTGTATGTATATCTGTAAATTGGCTAAAATGTGTTAATGTGCCATCAGTTATGCTTCTCGAAGTCATGGCTGAAATCTACTTTGTGGGGGTTTGTGATGTCATTTCTTCAATAGATGTAATTTTCTTGCTTGCCAGTTTATCATAACAGCTTTAATCAATTCTGAATTTTATTCAATTGTTGACATTGTGTATTTGCCAGTTCACAGACTTGTATACAAAAATGCATGATATGGGAAGGTCTGTTTTCAGCATGTGTTCTAGGAGAGTCACTTCATGCCAGTGGTCTATTTAAAGATGCATGCAGCTTTATGCATATCAGCTACATTTTTTAAAAAACAGAAATCTTCATAAAGGTGTCCTTCATCTTTATTTAGATCCCTTTCTTGTACAATCATGAATGTGTGGTCACTTTTATGCCAAGACAAAGAGTTTGCTACATTGTTTAGGAAAGGAAACGAAAACTTTTCTGCCATAGTGATGTCCCATGACAAAGGTACCCATGCCTTTATGAAGGTTGCTTCTCCACTTGCATATTATCTCATCAGCTGCAAAAGTTGGTTATTAAGGTTGCTTTGGCACTTGCATCTTATTTTGCGAACTATGAAAGTTGGTTACTATTGAACCATGAAAGTTGGTGGAGATCCTGCAAAAGTTGTGCAAACTACTCTTGTAAAATTCTAAGCTGCACTTCTGTATGCAAATCTCTCTCTATATATATAAAAGGAAGAGTCTGTCTGTCTATGGGTGTGTCTTTCATTTCTGCTGCCCGTAAGCTAATAGACCTAAAGCTACGAAATTTGGTACATAAGTGCATCTAGGCAAGAGCCAGTGCACCTCGAAGCGATTTTTCAAAATTCGAATGAGATTTTTTTGTTTTATGTTTTTTGATGAAATCGCATCAAATCCATAATTCTCTCTCATTATATCAGCAACAATGGCTGTGTGCCATTGTTGCTGATATATCACTGTTGCCATTGTTGCTGATATCAGCACTGTTATAGAAAATAAGGACTGCAAAAATAAGGGCACTAGTTCTGTTGCAGTTTTTAAATTTAATGTTACTCTTGGATACTGGACATTTGTCAATAGAAGACAACCGGAAGTTAGCTTATTTATTAGGATAATTAATATTAAGGGATATTGCTTATTTCATTGTAACTTTTTTTCATATGTAATATATTTTTATTGAAATTTGTAGGTTTTTTTGAAGAAGTTCTGCAGAGTAAAATTCTGTGCAGCTTTTAAATTTAATGTTTGGTGTTCTCTTTAGGCATTTTCTGGTACATTTAAAAGCCAGATGAAGGCTGGCCGTGTAGCGGCTAGTCTTAAATAAAATAATCATCAGTACCACATACTGATACGTAATGCACAATGTACCAAATAGCCACTGCTGCAGAGATATTTGACCTGCTTCATTGTGCTTCATAAAAAAGATTTTATTGATTCTTACTATTTTATTAGGCCTTCAGTTTCACTGGAAGCTCTGTTTAGAACCCTGTGAGTACACACTTCCCATAGGTGATTGTTCCAAACTACTGTTTTGTTGGTCATATTCAGCTGTTTTTCCTCATTCCATTCTCTCTTGATCAGCTGTAAATGAACTGGAGTGCAGTCACAAATGTGATTCTACAGTCCTTGAATTCATTTTTTTTTTTTTTCCAGAATGCAAGTAAAAGAACACCAGTAACAGTTAATTTATGTTTTTCTTTTTAAAAACAAAAAGTAGCCTATCAAGAATCATTTGGGGTTACATTAAATGAAAGTGTAGATGCTAAAGGCGCACTCTCGTATTATGATTATGCATTATTAACTAAACTGCACTTCTTGGTGACAGTTTTATAATCAGTGGGATAATACATAAGAACCATTGCTTTCTCTCAAGTGAAAACGTGATTTGCATTAACCCATTAGCCGCTGGTGTTGCGTTGATGCAACGGTGAAAATAAATGCGTATATAAGTATAACTACCTAAGATATTTTATACCAGCAGATGATTTTGTGTAGGAAATATTATGAAGATTATTTCTGTAAAAAAATATTCGCCTTCAACAATCATTTTGTTTATAATAATTAATTTCATACTTTAAGCAAAATTTTCGCCGGGTATTTTTGCTGAAAATATTTAACGAAAGAATCACAGTCTTTATGAGTGATCTATTTTTAGTCAAGGTCACTGTTTATCAGAACATTACATCAGTCAGATGTTTATATTTGTCTTAGGAAGGAAGAAAAAACAGGTGTTGCGCTGACGCAACGTCAGCAGGAAACGGGTAGTCAATCTCCTTTTTCACTCCTTCCTTTCGATGTTCTGTTTCATGTTCTGGTTGTTTAAAAATGCCTAGAACGAGGTACCTTACATTAGAAGAAACCCTTCAAAGATTTTTTGATAAAGAAACAGATGATGATAATGTTAATAATGACCAAAATGAAACTGATATTGTTGTTGTTCCCCCAGAAATTGCAAAATGTATTGACGAAGAAGAAAGGAATGGCAATGTTTTGAATAATGATAATGATATTTTACCAAATGATACTGCTGGGGAAGTTGAAATTCACGTAAGAAGTAAGTTTCAGCCTTCTAAAAGCAGTTATAGTCATACTAAAAAGTTTAAAAAGCAGAAGACTGAGATCTTGGAGTGGATAAAAAAGGAAATGTTACTTATGTCTCAGGAAGAACATGAAGAAAGAGATAGAAGAAAAATTATAAAAGACAAAACACAAGGTAAAACTAGTGCACAGATTTTCGATTTTTTTTTTCTTTTTGGTTTAGACATTTATTCTCTTCTCGTTGAACAGACAAATATATACGCTCAGAAGGAAAAAAAAAAAAAAAAAATGCCCAAAATTTATTGCATCTGAAGCCTATACGAGGAGATTTATTGGAATATTATTGCTTACAGGATATCATTCTTTACCTCAAGAAAAAATGTATTGTTCTTTTGATAAGGACATTTCTGTTCCTGTTGTACGAGAATCGATATCACGTTTGCAGTACAGGAATATGAAGCAGAATTTGCATTTGACAATAGTTCAATTGACAATACTGATAACTTATATGAGGTGAGACCGTATCTAAATTTACTAAATATCACCACTTTTTACTGCTGGAAATATAAAGTCTCTTTTAGATTTCAGACGCGAGAATGCATTATTCCTTTTGCAAACTCCTATTGAGAGTGTAGAATCAGCCGGAAATAGATCAGCAAAAAGACCTAGTAAATTCAGCATTCAAAAACCATTGAATGGAGATGGTAGACATTTTATCGTAAAGTCCGTTGATAACAAAAAACTTTGTAAAGAGTACCATAGCCAAACTGTTTATAGATACAAAGTATGTAATATAGCTTTACATCATGATTGTAATCAAGCTTTTCATGCTTGAATCTTTCAATTGAGATATTCTGTATTTGTAGAAGAAATAAAATGTATATTTTAATATTAAATTAATTACAAGTAAAGTGATTTGTAGATTTATAAAACGCTATACAGCTAAAAAGTAATCCTGCGCTCCACTCGAAAGAACATCACACGAGTACAATCCTACTCACTAAACATCCGTAGTCATATTCCGCTGGCATTTCACGAACACAACACTCGCATTTTTCTACAGGTAAGAGGATTTTTTTTTTTTTTTAATTTTCAATGTAAATTTATGCTATAAATGCTTAATTTAATATTTGTTATTATTTTCATGAGAAAAGAAACATTCCTTGTAGTTTTGGCGGTTAATGGGTTAAGTGCATGGGTATTTTTTATGCTAGAACACTCTTATGAAGGGTTCTTTCCAAATAGTGCAAGACTTACAAAAAAGTGTAGGCACTTTTATAATAGGGCACCATTCTGAAAGCATCTTGTTCTAAGAAGGTCTTGTTTTGAAATATAACGAGGTTTATATTTGTTTTGAAACATACAAGTATGTGTTAGTTTTCACAGAGGTCTATACAAATATTATAAAGTTACAGAGAAATGTTTAGGTAAAAAAAGAAAGCACAAAAAGCAGCCAAGCAAGAAAATCATCCTTTAGAAGTATTTAAAAGTGAAAGAAAAAGAAATAATTTTGCCGTATTTTACTGAGAGTAATGAATTTTCTAAAGTAAGTTTTTAATTTTCTTATTTATTATATTTTTAATTTTTTAATATGTTTAATTTTATGTAGAGAATTGAGTCCCCCCTTTTTTTATCTAAACTAATTTTTCATAAGTGTTTTGAGTTTTTTTTTTAAATTAATTTTTTTTTTATTTGAAGGCAAGAAAATTTCCAGCATTTTCTTTTCAGGGAGGGGGGGGGGATAAGTTTGTATTTTAAGAAAATTTTGCACTTTTAAGATATAAATATTTCAGATATAATAGCTATTGCCAGAATTTTATCTGTATTTTACTTATGTTTGAAATTAAGAAATGGACATTGATTCAAGTGCAAACTCCAAATTAAAATGTTTTTAAATCACTTTCATATCCATATTATCTATGAAATATTATTTTTAACAAACTACTTTATGGATAAAATGTTCAATACAGATATAGTTGTTTTATATTAGGGTTTAAAGACATTTTTATTGCTCTTAATTTTGTAGTGTTTTTAATGCCATAAAATTATGCTTTGTAACTAACTTTTTCATAAACAATGAGAATTGTAATTTGTTTTAAATACTTGAGTTTCATTATTTAAGAATTTTTCATTTCTTATCAGCTTAAATCCTTCATTTTCAGTATGCAGAGTAGGGTTACAGAATTTCTTCTCTACTGTATATGTTGTTTGGTACATTTTAAGTCTTGTAATGTCTTTAAACATGAGCTTAATACATAATTTTGCTAATTTGAGTTATGTGTTGGATATAATATAATTCAAAATATTTTTTATTTATTGTATTAACTTGAACATAAAAAGGCCTACATATAAAATGACAACTAGACAAGAAAGAGGAGGACCTGTGTATGAATGGACAATCTTAAATATATAAGAGTAATTTAATGAAAATATCCTATACATATTAAATTATCTAAGGGGTACTACAGTTTAAGGTAAAGCTAAGTAAATAGATTTTCTTTTAACGTAAATGTAAGAAGGATATAAATGGTAAAAATTCTTTTATATGTTTTTATGTCTAAGCTGTGCCTATAGGTGAGTGATGTTTTCAGCGGGTTATTTTAAGAAAAGATATATATAATTGCCTTATTCAGGTCTGTAATATATTTGGAATCATATAAATATATCATGTAGGAATAAGAAATAGTGCATTTTAGTAGGATAACTTTGAAAATAGGGAAGATTTTGTTTTGTTCAAGAAACAAATTTAAAGAGATAAAAACTGATTCCAGTGCCAAAATAAATTTTATCTTGCAACTTCTTTAATTGATTACAACAAATTTGCTATGAAATTTCAATACATGAAATACTTTTTTATAAGCTGATGGTAAATTTAACTAATTTAATTAAGAATATCTAATCTTGTTTAGTGTGCTGAAACATTTTCATGTGGTAAATTTAAGCCAATATTAAGTTTTGACACCTTAAATAAGAAAATCTGCATAAGCGTTAATTTGATGCCATGAATTACTAAACATATATAGCTCAAAATATTCATCACTGAGGACTGTCAGTTTGAAATAATAGCATAATAGATATCCATGTAATATTTGCTAATTGATAGTTTTAATCTACATTAGATAAAAAATATTAGAATTATAAACAAGCAGAAATTAGAATTATGAACAGACAACCCAAACTGATGTACTAAGGCTTTGTTTGACATAATTTTATAAAAGAAATTGATTAAAGTTTTTCTAAAATTAAATTGATTGATGTTGCAAAAGGTGGTTTCTGTAATCTGTTGGTTTTCTTAAAGGTGTATTTTTCATGTAAACTTAGGATTTTGCATTTTCTTGTACTTACAAATTATGACAGATGTAAACTTTATTGTATAGTATAACTGTAGCTTGTTTAATATTTTGTATTCACTTTTCTTACACATTTATTATCTATGTATAGATCATTACATTTTGCTGAAGTTTATGTGAAATAAATTTCCATATTTTTTATTTTGTCTACTTTATTAGCATAAAAAAGGAATGAATATTTTAAAATTAAATATTCAGTTCCATAGTTTATCATTTACTACATTATAGAGAGAATATATTCATTGATTACTGAAATGTATGTACATAAATATATT